TGTGTGTGTGTGTGTGTGGGGTGGCGATGTGAGTGCGGAAGCCACGCACCACCATTTGAGCATTTGAAGGGTAAAGGAGTACCTGAGAGAGATTTATGCTCCTCTGTTGTGAGCCAAGTCGCCAGGGCGTAATACGCATAATTTGTCTTCTACACTCTACTCCACCTTATGTCTCTCCGACTCTCGCTCTCACTTAGTGCCTGCTTGCGCACGCAAGCGCCTGCACGTCCGCACACCGCACACGCACCCTGCGCGGCATTGGTGGAACCGATTCAGCGCGTGATTGGGTCACCTACTGACAGTAATGCGCGGATTAAGCAAATAATAGAGGCTTACGATCAGCCGAACTGACAGCATGACGTGATGTTTAGTGCCCTAAGTGCTCCAGCCTGAAGCACACTGCGGTGGAAGAGGCAAAACAGTGAGGATGGATCCGCATGGGAAACTGTTAGGTAACATCACTGTCGTCACCCAGGCGCCTCTTGTTTGCCCTAACGGCACACTAGATGTTATTACTCGCAACAATGGCAGTGACCTGCTCATGTACTCTCGCTTTGCCCCGCCAATTAACGAGATGGTGGAGAAGGTGAGCTATCCCATCTGGTGCTCCCTCGGACTGCCTGGAAGCATACTCAGCATTTACATCTGGTCTAGGCGGAACATGCGCAAACAGGGCAGCGTCGCGGCAGCCGTATACCAGGCTGCGTTGGGATGGGTTGATCTCTTCTTCTTCCTTGTACAGATGATGTGGTACCTCCACACTGCCTGGCGCTTACGAACGCTCGATCACATTGTTATTTGCGAGGGTTTCGCTATAGCCAATTATCTTATTCAGTACGCCAGTCCTATGCTCACTCTCGTGTTTACGGTGGAAAGGTACATTGCGATCTGTTTTCCTTTTCGTGCGGGAGCTAGAAATTTCGGTAACAACTGCAAAAGTGCTTCCCACGTTGTCTTAGCAACGATTTTTTTTTGTGCCCTCCTGGCCAGTGTGCAAGGCGTATTTTACACAGTCTCTAACGGAAACTGTGGCCTGCGGCCAGATTTCGAACAGGAAGGGGAGCCGGAGTGGCTCTTCTACACTGGATGGATTATGTTCACTGAGCTTCTGATGTTTGGTCTTGTACCAATTATCTGCCTCATTCTTAACATTCTCGTCATTCGAGCTTTGCACAGACTTTCGCATGAGGAGTCAAGCGCTTCTAAGCGAGATCGTGGACTGCCGCGTTTGCCGAAGAACAACAGCTGTGCTCGCTTCTCCACCACCAGTTCCGTGTTTCTTCCCCAACTCGAGGCCTCATTTAATGAACGACAAAGTAAACAATCAAGCACTCTCACTCTACTCTGCGTCTCCTTCTACCTTATCTTTGCTCACCTTTCTGTTGCTGTGATGGTTGTTCTCTACATAATCCTTCCCATGGGAGACATATGCATGACGGATGAGGAGATATCCAAGGATCCCGTGTGGCGGCGGCACTTTCGATTTTTTACCGTTCGTTCACTCATCGAGTCTTTCGGGATATCCCACTATGCAGCTAAGTTCTACATCTACCTGGCCACCAGCGCCGCCTTTAGGGAACAGTGCGCAAATGTATTCTGTTGCGGTAAACGACGCAATGTCACTGTGGAACCCTCATCCTATCAAGCGCAGACACCAGCCAGCCTCACTAATGGGGAATCGGCATTTATGGGTGCAATGGCACACTCCACAGCATCTTCCAACCCTCGTCTGGGGCCTTCGACTCCCTCCATTCTCATGCCATCCAGACGAATCAGTGCCTCTAGTCTTGGATCGCGTGTTTTTGGTGGTGTAGGCGTGGGGGACAGGAGGACCCCGCGGGTTCGACCTGCGAGCGGACTCTCGCGAACTGTGCTCAACGATATTGGTGAGCGAGTCCAATTGAAACTCTCCTAGATCCCATGCCCGCATTAACCGACATCACTTTCGTCGCTCTTTGCTCTCTGCACTATCCCTTCCTTTCCCCTATGAGTAGAAGCAACTCCATACGCCCTAATGTACAAAGATTACTCTATTCTGACAATATGCCGATACACATGCTTTCCTTTGTTTGCGAAGTTGAAAGCGAAAGGGGTAATTAAGCTGGCAGCATCCATTCGCTATGATTACCTGACAACAGCTATAACGATTCCATCTAGAGTTGTGATACAGCATCAAGTAGAAATACATCTTCAAGCAGTAGGAGTTGAGGTTCTTCTTGTTCCTTTTGTCCACATCCAATGATTCAGCCACTTTGTTGGCATTGAAATCACCAACATTTATCTTTTCTAAATGGTTTTGGACTGCAGCTGTTTGAACAAGGAATGGCATGTGAGGCATTTATAATGGTGTTTGGTGTCGTTATCCTTCTCACCAGTGAGAAGCGTGCTTCGCTGTATTACTGGCGACAGCTAATCAGGCACAGTCAATGATGCGGATGATTTGAAACGTCATACATTTTCACCAAAGGCAATCTGATCAGAGGCCGACTTTAACGCCGACACTGGTTGAATGCAGCAGTTCTTGTGTAAACGTCGTTTCACCACCACAGTAAATCCTTATTTTAGTGTATTAACTCGACTCTAAACTGAAAGACAATTTTTGAATTCTTTCATTACTGACTGGTGAATTGCAGGAGTGATTTATTGTCGTGCTGTATCATTATGACACGATGTGCATCATAGAAGGCTACTAAAGGCTCTCTGTTAAGGGTACAGTGCTTGTACTATTCGAGCAAAGGAACGACTCAGCTAAATTGCATCGTTTATTTTTATGTGAGTGAAGCAATAGCTCCACGACACCGGCTTTTAACCTCGTAGTTGCACACAAATGAAGGGAAAAGGTGTGGACAGTAATCAACCTGACCGCCACCTAACTACGTTAATGCCACGGGAATGGACGATGCGATAAATTGTCGTAATCTTAAGTGAGAAACATTAGATGACCTGAGTTTTTAACGCTCCGTAAAACTGGATTTTTTGCAGGGACCTAAAACTCGTTCACG